TAATTTAATAAACTTTACTGAATTACTGTTGTTAAAACATTAACATTTTCATTAATTAGTTGGAAGCTGTGTTATCCATGGCAAGAATTGTGTTTTGGATTTTTTTTAGAAGTCAGATTATAACATTCACAATTATAATATATATTATACACTACAAAATGTGAAATGCATAAAAACAGCTTCTCTTGTGCATGCACAATGTGAAAACTATTTTGCTGTGCTGAAACTCTAATGTTTTTCTTTAATATGACGGTTATTTTTGTTGAAAATTGCAAAAGTAAGAATGCTACTCTCTGGAAAGACCCCTGCCTATGGGAAATTGAACTAAGAAAAGCAAAGAAATCTTTTACCTCCTGACCTCAGTTTCCTGTGTCTAATCTGGGAGTATGAACCCCCGGCTGCTAGTGGCCTGCAATTAATTATTATGATCTCTTAAGGGCTTGGAGCATCTACCTTCTGTTCACCAGATCACTTCATACGATAGAATTTAGTTTTTTCCATCTCACAAATATAAACCTTTGATGCAATGTCAACCATTAATGGAAAGAAAATAAATGGTGGGACTCGGTAAATAGAACAGTTTTATAAATAGAAGCAAAGGTTCCCATCTAAAACAAAAAACTGATAAATGCACTGGCATGCAAGCACAGCTGGATTGCGAGTCATGCTTATTATAAGCAAATTAAAGAAAAGTGCAGCCATTCGGCCACCAATCCATTTCTTGTCTTTTTTTATGTCTAGTGTAGATTAGAATACAATGTTAAACCTAATTGGCTGCTAGAGATAACATCTAGGTTTATAACTCTAGTTGTTTGGGCTTGTTCACACCGAAAGCATGTGCATTCCAGAGCGGTAGCTGCTGGAACGCACCGCAATCGCTGAGAAACTTCCCCCAGCGTTTTGGGGCGGGAGGGGGCGTGGCGGTGGCTTGAAGTCAATGGCACCGCTTCCACGCCCCCCTGCCCGCAGCGCGATCGGACGCGTGGCAAAACTTTGCCAGCGTTCCGTTCCACTGCAAACGCAAAAAATAGGGCAAGCCATGGACCAGGGGCAACTAGCAAAAGACTGTGGGTGCGATGCATAGCGATGGCAGGTAAATATGATATTGGTACAGTTTTAAAGGAGTTCACGTTATCTCTAACAGTAATTCTATTAGTAAAGTAGAAATACCAAACTGAATTCACCACATCACATGTTTAATTTACTAGAATCTTATGACATTGTCATATTGAATGAACTGTTAAAGTCTGTCATGTAAAAAAAAAATAACAAAATACCCCATATTTATTTCCTACTATGCATTCATTTGGGCTCAAATTATAGCAGTATTTTTGCCCACTGCATAGAATAACAGGAGTTTTCATTTACAGTAAAAAAAAAAAAAACTGTTCCTTAACCTCCCTGGCGGTATGATTTTTAATTTTTTTCATGTCATTTTTCTGTCAATTTGTTTTTCACATTTTTTTTGTCTGTCGTTTTTTTCTTTTGAATATCCCGCCGGTTCCACCCCCCTGCGACGAAACCCGGAAGACGGCCGCAGAACACAGCGCGGCTCGAGGGACAAGGTAAGTAAATGCTATGCAGCTTTCCCGAGTGTAGCTCGGGGTTACCGCTTATGGTATGGAAAAGTAACCCCGAGCTACACTCGGGAATACCGCCAGGGAGGTTAAGGGACAAAGAATAAGAGACAAATTGGGGTTATATGCAGCTGCCCACGTGAGGTGGATTCTAACTGTTCAACAGTCCTGGGTCTTCTTTGTTATATTTTTTGTTTTAAGATGCGCCAAATATTTTCAATTAGTGAAAGGTCAGGACTGAAGGCAGGCCAGTTAAGTACCTGGACTCGAAGGCCTGGTTCACACCTGGGCGTTTTACAGCGCATTCCTACGCTCTGTAAGCGGAAGCAGAGACACCGGCACTCCAAATTTGCAAAATACGTCTATTTATTGACGTGCATCGTGGTAGAAAACAACGAACGTTTCGGGGTCACAAAGGATCCCCTTCATCAGGTAAAACATACCACAATGCACGTCAATAAATAGACGTATTTTGCAAATTTGGAGTGCCGGTGTCTCTGCTTCCGCTCACGATTGTTACGGCTGCCACCCGTTGACTACCGCAAAACGCCCTACGCCCAAAGAAGTACTGGAGCTTCTTTGGGGCGTATTTGGTGCGCGTATCCATTGGGATACAGCCAAGTAGCCCTCGGAAACGCGCGTTTCCTGGATATACTGTATCTTACAGCATTGATGGTGCCTTTCCAGATGTGGATGGTGCCTTTCCAGATGTGCAAGCTGCCCATTCCATACGCACTAATGCACCCCCATATCATCAGAGATGCAGAAGCGCTGATAATAAGTGGGAAGATCCCTCTCCTCTTTAGTCCGGATACGAGGCGCTCATGGGTGCCAAAAGGAATGTCAAATTTCGATTCGTCTGAGCACAGAACAGTTTTCCACTTTGCGACAGACCAGTTTCAACTGAGCAAATTTGGCGTGCCGGTGTCTCTGCTTCCGCTCACGATTGTTACGGCTGCCACCCGTTGACTACCGCAAAACGCCCTACGCCCAAAGAAGTACTGGAGCTTCTTTGGGGCGTATTTGCCACGCGTATCCATTGGGATACAGCCAGGTAGCCCTCGGAAACGCGCGTTTGTCGTTTTTTACTGTGTATCACGGTAAAAACGCGCAACAAACGCGCATATTCGATACGCCTAGGTGTGAACCCAGCCTTATACCATGAAGCCATGCTGTTGTCATACATGCAGTTAAGCATTGTCCTGCTGAAATATAATAGGCCTTACCTGAAAAAGAAGTTGCTGCATGGGAGCATATGCTGCTCTAAAACCTGGATATACTGTATCTTACAGCATTGATGGTGCCTTTCCAGATGTGCAAGCTGCCCATTCCATACGCACTAATGCACCCCCATATCATCAGAAATGCAGAAGCGCTGATAATAAGTGGGAAGATCCCTCTTTAGTCCGGAGACGAGGCGCTCATGGGTGCCAAAGGGAATGTCAAATTTCGATTCGTCTGACCACAGAACAGTTTTCCACTTTGCGACAGACCAGTTTCAACTGAGCTTTGGCCCAGAGAAGACAATGGCGTTTCTGGATCTTGTTCAGATATGGCAGCTTCTTGGCATGATAGAGCTTTACCTTGCAGTGATGTCCATCAAAGAATCATGCCTGTTTTTAATGCAGGGAGGGACCGAAGATCATGGGCATGCAGTATTGTGTTTTAGTCTTGTCTCTTATTAGATCTCTTAGATCTCTATCTCTTATAGAGATTTCTCCAGATTTTGAGAATCTTTTGATATTATGTACTGCAGATGATGATATATTTAAAGTCCTTGCAATTTTACTTTGAGGAACATTATTCTGAAATTGCTCTGAAAATATTTAGACTCAGCTTTTCACAGATTGGTGAACCTCTGCACATCTTTACTTCTGAGACACTCTGACTCTCTAAGATGCTCTTTTTATAACCAATCATGTCACTGACCTATTGCAAATTAATCTAATTAGTTGCAAAATTCTTCCAGCTCTTCCTTGTTAGTACCGTCTACTTTGCCAGCTTTTTGTTGCCCTGTCCCAACTTCATGATAAATCTGAATTTTTGGCTAGAAAGCAGCTTAAAAACCCCAAACAATTATATATTTTCTGAAAGCAGAGTAGAATTAAAAAAATGTTAGTTGCAATTTCTTACCAGTGTCGTACCAGTATTTTTAGGATAAAATACACTAAAATAAAATTTAGTGCACAGAAACAGAATATAATACCGAATTTTTTGGTAAAATATAAAAGATGGGGTCACATCAGGTAAATTGATACAAAACATGTCAAGCCACAAAATTGCGTGCGCCCATGAAACCACAAAAAACTACAATACCCAGAACTTCCGATAGGCAATGCTTTAAAAGATTTTACTACTCATCCGTTTAATGTTAACAGTGACTGATGGCCCTAGAATTATTGCTCTCTCTCCAATGTTCACGGCGATATGTAACATTTCTGGTGCGTTTTTGCACATAGGCGCATCTGATGCATGTTTGCGTTGTATGTGCGTGCAAGTGGGGGGCGGGGGACTTTAAAAAAAAAAATTTTTTATTTTTTTTGCACTCATCTCTGCTAACAAGCCCCCTATGTCTTTCAAACCACTAATGTCACCTGGGGACCCCAAAGAAGCTGATTAAGCAGAGATCTGCTTCACTAGTTTCTTCTCCTGGCTCTAAGAGCCAGAGAATTTAAACAGTGACACCGGAAGTGATTTAATAGACATGTAATAGACATCACTTCCCGGATCCAGTGATCGGAGGAGAGATTAGCGGGTAGAAGCCTGCTGATCACTCACCGATTGAAGAGGAGAGACCCCCACCGTGCCAGAGAGTGATTGAAGAGAAGAGACCCGCCCCGGAAGACGGCAGCGGAGGGGGGAGCGCCGGATCACTTGTATATAAACAGCAATCACCAGCCTTTTAAAACCATACCAAGAACACAGCTGCAGCAGCCATGTTCTTGGTATAATAACTTCAAGCGGATGACGTGTATTTACGTGAACCCGCTAGAAGTGGTTAAACATTTGATGCTTTATATTGTGAATAAAATATGGGTTTATGAGATTTGCAAAGCATTGCATTCTGTTTTTATGTAGATTTTACACAGCATCCCAACTTTTTTGGAATTGGTGTTTTATGCAAAAAAGAAAAAGTTAGAAACAAATTGAAGAACCTTTTCAGAAACGTTATCCATCCTCTTAAGGACTCTTGCATGTTGGGAGTGGAAAGGGTTATACCTGGCTGGCCAACTTTTTTTTCTATTTGCCAGGGTCCACCTTCTGTAGGTGGCTGAATATAACCTCATATGTCACTGACTACTGATACAGTACTCCTTAATGAACAATAAAGACACATATAGCAGTAAACCATAAAACATAATCCTAAGTCCACAAATACATATATGTTTTTCCAATCTAAAAACACACATATATCATACATACCTTTTTTGGTGACTGTAGGCTTGATCTGCAGGAGGTAATATTCTGCCGTACGTGGGTGAAGTAACAGCTGTAGAACCTGAAACAGTAAATACTCTATTGAGAAACAAAAGTGTTCAAAACAAAAATCAAACCAAACATTAAAGGTGGCCATACACTTTACAACCCTCGCAAGACTTTTGTCTTGCGAGGGTTGTAAAGTAAATTTTAAAAAAAAGTACGATCTGCCTATCTTGGACAGGCTGATCGTACTTGCGATGATCGCAAGCCTGCCCCCCTGAGGGGCGGGCTTCCGATGACTGCAATGCTGAACGGGCAGTGTGCACGTGCGCACACCGGCCCGTTCGGGTGTTATCTCTCGATCGTGTTTTCCAACATGCTCGAAATACAAAAGTCGTGCGACCGCACAGTAGAAACGGTCGCACGCCTTCCATACACTGCACGATTATCGTACAATCGCGGGATTTCCTTCGATTCTCATACGATAATTGTGCAGTGTATGGGCACCTTAACCCCTTTGTGACGGGAGACGTACACTGTACGTCCCGCCACAAAGGGACCAAATGACTCGTCACGTACATTGTAAGTGACAAGTTATTTGCTGCATTAGAGGGCTGGTTACCGTTGAGAATCAGCGGTTACCATTCATTAATGGATGCCTCAGTATAGGAGGCATCCATTAATTAAAGGGTTAACCTTTTTCAGACACCTGATACCTTAATATCGGGTGTCTGAGAGTCAAAGCAGAGCGGGCAAACATGCCGGCAAAAGAAGTGTGTTACTGGCAGTGTGTTACTGGCAGTTGAAATTATATTATAATATTTAACAGGTGAAAAGAAAAGATTTATAAAAAAAACTAAAAAAAGAAAGCTAATGCAGCCACCTCATTTAAGGATTGGTAAACTGCAATATGTTATATTTTTGTTATTGGGTTTAAATATTCAAGTATATCAGGTAGGGATGTCCCGATACCGATGCTAGCTTCGGTATCAGGACCGATACAATGCATTTTCACAAGTACTTGTACTTATGAAAATGCCCCGGTACATAACGCCGATGCTTGCGCATCGGTGTTGAAATCCTAACGCCCGGAACATGTAGTTCTGGGCGCGAGCAAGCGAGAGCAGGGGGCGTGGAGCGGTGACGCGGGGGGTGTGGAGCTTTGACGGCGTGGAGCTGTGACAGAGCAGGGGACGTGGAGCTGTGACAGAGCACGGGGCGTGGAGCTGTGACAGAGCACGGGGCGTGGAGCTGTGACAGAGCACGGGGCGTGGAGCTGTGACAGAGCACGGGCCGTGCAGCTGTGACAGAGCACGGGGCGTGGAGCTGTGACAGAGCACGGGGCGTGGAGCTGTGACAGAGCACGGGGCGTGGAGCTGTGACAGGCTTTGTCACCACCCTCAGCCTCTGTTCTTGGCCGCTGCTCGTTGTGGTCACAGGAGTTCTAGCACAGTGCTGTGCTAGAACTCCTGTGTTGGAGGTGGCAGGGTCACCTCCAAATGCTATCACGCAGGGGTTTGTCAACCCCTGTGTTATAACAATACAGTTAAGTAAAAAAAAATATTAGTTAAAAAAAAGGAAAAAAGGAAAAAATAACTCATTAAAAATGTAAAAAAATAAAAAAGGCGATAAAGTAAAAATAAATGAAAATTTAAAAATGTTACAAAGTAAATACAAATTTAAAAAAATTAAAATGTTACAGCTTTAAACTATGTTATAAATATATACACAACATATTTTACGACAACAAAAAGGGGTTTGGGCTCATTCACAAAATGCTTTGCATTTCCACCTTTACAGTCAAAATTTGAGAAAACACCACTGTATGTTTGTGTGTTCCCATTTACACAGCATACCTTAAATTATTTTAAAACATTCTTACCTTTAGCTGTTTCTTTGGATTAGGATTATTCATAGGATTCTATGGGCAGCTTCTATTGCTTTGAAAATATGGCAAGGTGAAGATTTGGAAGAAACTTAGGGACAGTTTTTTAAATGCATGTTAATACAATGCACCACCCAATGCCTTGATATCTTCAACTCTGTGTTAGGACAGAGAGTGTTGAACATTTAGTTAAGAAATTATCATGAAGATCTGCCAGCACAGTACAGACAGGTAAATTACAGCAAACAACTCCCTACCCCCTCATAAACATTACATAGAAAGGAAGAACTAAGTAGGGTTTTTCAGCCCTGGCATTTTGAGAAAAGAAAAGTAAAAAGGTAAGCAGCAGTTTTTAAAAACATATTTTTTTAAAGTTATGCAATGTGATTGGGAACATGTAACAAATATAACGTAGGTGTTAACTCAATTTGGCTGCAAACGTGGAAATACACTTTAAAAGTGAGTGCATGTGATATGTTCAAAGTAAATCTCTTCAATGTGTGCTGAAGCTGTAAAGCCTTGTTTCTATGTATTGCTTGTAATTGTATATGTAGTATAAATGAGAGCTGCTCGTTAGGCATAGCACTCTGTGCTTCCTGATTAATAGTGAAGCAGTGTTTGTGTTTTACTTTTTCTCTCTTAACAGAAGTCTATTAGTTTGTGCAAATCACCAAAAACATACATTCACTGCCTTATCTTGTTATTGGATATTAATTTGAAGATATCTACAAATCTCAACAGAAAATATTTTCATGAAAATATTACACAAGTAAAAAAGTAAAAGCCACATTGAAGTTATTTTCTAGTAAACGTAAATATTATGTGCATGCAATGGACATAGTTTGCCTTCAATGCATTTTTGTTATTTAAAAAAAATGCTTGCCAAGACTATAATGAGAGGATGACATTTTTATTCAAGCCGTGTGTAATCAATTTTCTTGATTTAATGAGAAAAATTTCAGTTCAGGGCTAGTGTTGAGATGTCATTTTATCGTTGCCTAAGGAGCCACAGGGGATATAGGAAGATGTATCCCCTATGTTACCTCATCACTGATGATCTGCAGGTGCTGAATGCAGAGACAACTCAACAGGTGAAATGAATTAAAACAAAACACTTCAGATGGTTGTATTGATTAAAAAAAAAGCACGTGGATGGTATTCAAGTTGATACTTTATTAATATTTGAAATAACTGTTAAGGTGCCCATACACCTTACGACCGCAATGCAGAACGGGCAGTGTGCGCGCGCGCACACCGGCCCGTTCAACAGCTATCGAACGAGCGGGTTAGAAACCGGCCGACAAAAGACTGGTTCGACAAAAGACATGCGACCGTACAGTAGAAACGGTCGCATGCCTTCCATACACAGTACGATTCTCGTACGATCGCGGGATTTCCCGCGATTCTCGTACGAGAATCGTACAGTGTATGGGCACCTTAAGGCTTTGTCCACATGGAGCGTTCTGGGGTTCCCGTGTCAAGCACCTATGGATTCTTGCAGCAGGAATCCCAACAGGGTTATTCACAAAAGGGTGAAGAGTTTGGAGAAAGCAGGAGAATTGAACCATCCTAGACGCATGTATCCTGCTTCCAGGGACAATCATTTATCCTAAACTGCATGTATTAGTACCATGTATGATTACCCGTGTACTGCCGCTGACAGAAGCAGCTGATGTCACCCTATCATTGAACGAAGACACCTGGGATTCCTGCCACAAGAATCTGTAGGTTATTGTCACAGGAATCCCAGAATGCAGCAGTGGAACTACACTTGGTTTGTTAAAAAGCAGTGACAGGTAGGGTTTTTTTATGATAGATGTGACTGTGTATGTCTCTCCTGTCCCAGATGCTTCTTCCTGCCTGTCAACACTTTTTTGTGTAAATGTACACTGAACTGCGCATTTCATTCACATGTACGGAAGATAAGTTATATGCAGCTTTAACTATGGAATTAATTATAATCTACTCTTACCATATGTCGGTTGCCCGGTATGTGTGCTGAAGTATTCAGATTCCTGCAAAGGATAAACCAATATTGCATATCAAATGTACAAGTTATAGGGCTATCTCAGTTTTATCAATACAGGGGTGGGGCTTTATTAAAACTGGAGTAGACAGAATCTGGAGCAGTTGTACACAGTAACCAATCAGCTTCTATCTTTATTTTTATTTGTTAAGCTTTGAAAATAAAAGCTAGAAGCTTACTGGTTGACATGCACAGTTACCTCTCAAATTCACCTCAGTATCTTTTGTATCCCATGCACTGCTTGATTGCAGTTTGGCAACAAGAGTCATGTATGTTAAGGAAGCCTAATAAGAAAGACAAAATGCAGTATTTTATCAAACTTACACCATTTTCACTCATTTTTATTTTATACAAGATATTGTGATGTATCAATCACAGAAGGGCCTCAAGAAAATGTGATCTGCAGTATGGTTGCTACATCACTATTTGTAACTGAGCAGTTCAGTATAAAAACAAAATAGATTTTTGTACTTTTACTGTAAAATACAGTGGGAGGGATGCAAGAATTAGGGAATTCTGAAACAGTTGAGGTTATACTGCTGCCTACAGGAGGTTAGGACGCTGGTAAGAAAAAAATAAATAAATGTTGAGGCTAACCCCCAAACAAACAGCCTCCCACTTGTTGAAGCTGGAGTCACACCCTTATGGAGAAGGCTAAGCAGATTAGTTAGCTTCAAGCCAATGCGGCTTGAGTGGGAGAATGCTCTTACTGTCTACAAGATTGTACTACTGCAGTAGATGAAGGGGGTTGTTCCACCCTTTCCACTGATCTGCGTTATGGTAGGAGTACAAGTACGACCACCAGTGGCAATGACTGTGTCAATAGCATGTCTGAAGAGGTGACTTCCCTGAATGGACAATGGAGGCAAATGTTTTTTGGGCATCAAAGTGCCCTATGTGTGTGACCAGGCATCAGTGCTATGGAAGAAACAAGTTAGGATGCTTACAACAGGCTGTCACAGCTAAAGTGCAAAGCCCCATGCATTGCTCCAAACACTCAATGAAACAAGGACACTGGGATCAAAGTAGGAAATCTAACTGTTTGGCAGTGAAATCCCTAAATGTGCGAACACTAAGAACACGTTTAGTAGGAGTTCTATAGTTAACATTGATTAATGGAGCATCTACGGTGGAGAGAAACCACTCAGCATTAAATCTCCTCACAAAGGGAAAAAGCCCTGCCGCATTGTCTGGAGGGGCCCAGGATCCTACAGGGAGTTTCCACTCGTCAGAGGAATGACTTAAGCAGTGGGTGTACCGGAAAGGTCTTTGCAGCTATTTTAGCTCTGGAAGACTCCAGGCAGGGTAGCAGGAACTGTATCATCCAGTTTGACAAAAACCCCTTGTAGATGTCAGTCGTCTGCAGGTGGCTCAGAAACGTCCTCTTTAGGAGTAAAGTGTTGGGACTTTGAATCTGAATCAGAGATAACAGGGGCCTCGGGCACATTTTGAGGTAAAGAACCACAGGAAACAGAGCTAGACTCGTACAGGAGCACGCTTAGAGCCTGTGCGAATACACTGCTCCAGTAATTTTGCACAAACAGAAAGTCCAAAGTGGACATAGAGGTCTTTGGGGACATGGGGAGGTGTTGCCTCACCCAACAGTGCCGAAGAAGCCTCTGATAAGAACGACCCTATAATAACCAGAGTATCAGGTGCTAGAGTGCAAGAACAAATTTCTTCTGGAGGTGAAGGTGGGCAGTGGAATGAGACCAGCGACTGGATGATCCACTAGGTGCATCAAGAGGAGCAGCAGGATGCTCATTTTTCTAGGATAAATGACAGGACAGGGCATGGAGCTTGCATGCACAAAACACTCCAGCTAACAGATGATGTGAATGGTTAGTTCCCTTAGCCTTAACCCTTACTGCGTTGAAACCAGCAGTGGCAGGAAAGTTTAAAAAGGTGTCCAACAGTACCAACTGTGAGGTAGTTCCCAGTGTTTCAGCCTAACGAACCTTACTCACCAAGTGAGTCTTCAGAGACAGGTCACATCAGAGGATGTGCCGTGGCTCTGGACTTTGAAAGTGCTTTGCCGCTAACTGACACAGTGCAAATAGGTCTGAAAGGTGCGTCTAGGTCACATTCCAAGATAGTCCCACACTCTTTCAGTCCAAGATCAGGATACTGCTTCCAAAGCTGTTGCTGAAGATATGCTGATCCTGATAGCTGCTATGTAGAGACTAGCTCAAGCAGCGGCATGGAAATCTTGAATGAAGTCACTGAAGGAATAACATTATTATGGGTGTATCAAGAATCCTGACTGATATCAGTAATGAAAGAGTCTAACAGAAAAATTCTGTGGGTCGCCTCCACCCTGGCTCCTTGCATTGATCTCTCCCCCTAATAAGTAATATATAGACAAAAAAGTAGAGGAAAGGGTTTGTAGAGAGATATATCAAACCATGCGTAAAACGATATCAAATTTATTGTACATAAAATGAATTGCAGTAAAAACATTGCTTGGTTATTACAATGGATAGAACTTATAGATAGCATTATTACATACATGAATGTAGTATCCCAATTATTGCCAAACCAGGTTCATCCCTTCTCATTGATTGGCCTGACATACATAAATTAAATTGTTAAATTCTCAAACATATAGGTCATGATTCGTAAAAAATGATCAATTCATTGGTGTGTTCTTCAAACTATATAGCCTGACATACATAAATTTGTTGTCACGGTTTGAGGTTTTGAATTATGTTTGCGGTTCAATTAGTGGGAATTTCACACACAAAGGAATACCAATTAACAATATATACATTCACCCACCTATGATTTGGGACACACACAGGCAATTGCCATGATTTAGACTACAGACACTCATGCATATGTTATATAGACCTATTAACAGCAACTGACTGTCACTAAAGAAAACGTATGAACAATCCTTTCACCTATATACTAATGTATCCAGATGTATGCACACATATATATATATATATATATATATACAC